TGGGTTTCGGATAGTTGGATAAAGCACTTAAACACGATGTTTTGGAAGCGTGTGAGGAGGATTGCGTGCGGGAGCACACTACTTGGAAGGATCAGCTAGTTCCATGACATTCTCACTTCTCATCCCTAATTGCGGGAGTTAATTCTCTATCCAAAAACCGGAACCGGGTTTCCTTCTCCTCCTCAATTTGTGATGTGTAAATGGTCCCCACTTCTTTGGTCTCCACTGACATCTGGGCGTTTTTCTGTATTACACTACCTAGGCTAACGGCGATTGGTAGGTTTACCACACTGTTCCAGGTCACATTGCAGCGTACGCTCCGCAAAAAAAAACATTGTTTTCGGAAGAGAGACGAGTGATATGCTGTGATGGGCCTCCGGAACCCCCAGGTCTGTCACGGAAGATTGGAGATGGGGATATATGTATGTTCCAGGCGTATGAAAGGAAGCCCAAGTTCGTGTCCATCTATTCGGCGGGACATCACGAAAGCATCGAGTCCGTTCTGGCAATATTCCCTACTTAATGGCGGTGCATAACTTATGGTATGATAGCTGAACACATTTTAATCTCAACATCCAGGTTCGAGTATGTCATACCGTAAAATCTCGTGAAATCCACTATATCCGTCACCCCCTAATCCTCGTTTTTGGCTGTGTACGACCTCGCTAACTTGGCAAACTAAACCTATATTGGGCGGATGTCGCGATTTAGAGGGATATTTGTGAGAGGCCGGATATAGTGGATTTCACGAGATTTTACGGGTAGTCTAATAGCACAAGTGCAAAGATACTACAAGACCTTCGTTTGTTCCCGAACTTCACCGCTTTTTAGTGTGCGCACGGCGTTGTCATCAGCAAAGGCCATCCCAGATATAGCTAATATATGATTACCAAGACTAACGAACAACGGGTTACTGCTGGTCACAATTTAACAACACCATTAATTGTTGTCATGACACTCGGCCAGGCCAATGATTGATTTCGACAGATGGGATAATAAAGACAAGTTCTGATTCCGACTAGTAATACTACAAGACAAATCATATAAGCTAAAGTTGGCCCGGATTTAGGAAAGCGAAGAGAGGGAGGAGGCCAAAATTATTAATGCGCCTATACGAGTATACGCACCGTTACGCTCCAGTAATACGGTAACTTATCCTGTAAAGGGATTGAAAACAGCGGATACTATGCTCTATACTACTTGTTAGAAATCATAGCTGTACAGTACCGTTGCCATAGTCTCAAGCGAGACTCTGTCACCACTTACGTCACCTTCTTGTTCATGAGTTACTCTCTCCTTTTTCTTCTAGTTAGGATCATTGTCGTCTACAATACAATTTCATCTCCTTTTTTGTCCCTTCTAACACTACTATAGGTTACGGACTCCAAGTGCAGTGCAGGTAAACAGCATTTTTCACTCGCCAGTTAGCTTTTCTTCTTCTTCTTCATTCTCTCACGGAGATCCAGAGCTGTCTGCGGGTGAAATCCCTTAGAGAGCTTGAGTCGTCGAGAATTTTCTTGGCACTACCAATAATGTTGGACCAGCGCTTACTTGTGCAACACCAGAACCTCGTCAGTTATCATAGCTCCCCCCTCTTTCTTCACTCACCAGAGATTCTCTCAAACATCGAAAGAAATCCGACTCCCGTCGCACGCGATCCCTGTCTATCTCTCACAAAAAAAGGAAATTTAGATAATACCAGTAGACTATAGCGCACATGTCGTCGGAGAACCAGCAAGTCACCGGTAATGTCAACTCGTTCAACCTGTTGACGAACAGCGTTGTCAACTTTATCACAGAAGCAGGCGCCGGGAGACATCAAATTCTGCAGTGGCTATCCCCACTTGAACCACAGCAACGGCACCAAGGTGTGCGAACCGGGCGGCTCAAGGGCGTGGGGAACTGGGTACTAGAAACAAGCGAGTTCAGAAAATGGAGTGATACAGAAGGTTATTGCGCAGAGCAAGTGTTGTTCTGTTCCGGGAATCCGGGGGTGGGGAAAACTTATATTAGGTATAAAGACTCCTTGTCGCGAGAAAGATGTTGCAGATTTCACCAATCATTAGCACTCTGTACACACCCTTTTGATCTGTCTTTGTTTTTTATCTCCACCGAGTCAGGTTCCCCCCTATGCCCGTCAACCACCCACTTTCTCTCCACCCGCATTATTACGCAACTCTAACACCCATCTTGTATGTAGATATAAATTAAATATCAGTACAGACCCTGTCCGTATGAGAGCCCACGACAAGAACCAACAGAGGAGTGGAGTGTGCGATGAGTGATTCACAGAGTTTGGTCTATCTTTTCAATTTCTTCTCACTCCTTTCTCTTTTTCTACCTGCCCCCATCTTTCACTCCTCATCCATATCCCGCCTCGTGACATGAGCCTTTCTCCCCATTACTTCCAAAGAGATCATGCCTCCTGCTCCCGCTATCTTTCTCCGACCACAAATCACACATCCCACCCACGCTGCTAAATCTATCCCATGTCCTACCACCCTCCCTCGTGGATCCTATGGGTCTCCCCTTCTCATTAAGCACTCCAGGAACTTTTCTATAGGTATCCGAAGCTCAATAGAAGGGACGCCCCCAAGAGTGGAAAACCAGGTTGTGAAGAACTCGCTCCAAATGCTATATTACCATCACACCCACGACACTCACTTCTGGGACTTTTTGAAGGTTCTGAATGGGCTTTGGATAGTCAGAGTAGATTGTGGAAGTTTTCGGGAGCCTGACGGATAGCTTAGGAGTATGGTAAATTATGGAGGTCCAGAGATTTACGGAGGAGATTCTCCAGACATGTCTTTCCTTTGTTATCACCGGAGAGTATTGAAGAATGGGGGTATGCGTGGATACATGGAGATAGGTGTGGTGATCTATGATATTAGTTATGTTTTATTTATATACTTGTCTTTACCGTTCTTTCAGACAGAGAGACCAAGTGTGGACGAGCGAAGAGAACGAAGTTGTTTACCATACCCCCCACATCTTCCTATATTCAGGTTCCAAAAAAAAACCTGTTATATACCGTCTACCGCTAGGGGATCTTCCACCTTGATCCACCGTCAAGAATATTGAGTATTGTGCGCAAGAACATCAACCATCTCAAAAACTAAGTCAACAGACCACTATTTTACAGCAAGGTGTCATTAATCACACGATAGTATTATCATATATATTTACGGCACAAACCCTAATTCCTGGCATACGCATGATACTAGTATTCGGATAATGCTGCACTGCCGATAGGAGTCCGTGTGCCGGGCGGTCTTTGTTCGCTACCGGGATGGGATACTGGTATGTTAGTCTCACAGAAGTGCACCGGCAACTAACCAACAACAAATGCCCGCTCTGGTGAAGGTTTTCTCGACTCAGTGGCCAGCTATAATCCGATCACAAGGGTCACAAAGGGCAAAACATAGGTAATGAGTTAATCTATTCGGAGCAGATCAGGACGCCAGGAACAATGGAGGAACGGAAAATCGAAACAAATACTATCGTCAAGAAATGATCCAATCTCTGCCTTTGCTCCCTGCCCACCTTCTCCTCTCGGTTCCTTATCGGCCCTCCACTCTTCATCTCCGCCGGTCTCTTACTTCCCCTTAGGGAATCTTTAATCCCGTATAAATACGACAACTTGGCTAGCAAAACGTCGACGAGTTCCCAACGGACAAACTGCGGAAGAGTAAGAATGCCGACATAAGTCAAGACTGGTCCATCCACGTTTCCCCTCTGAAAGGTATATTGCACTACAAAATCTGATGCTGAGCAATGATGTATTTCGTCAAGAGAACCCACACCGCAGAAAGCACTCATTAATTAAGCTTCCTTATAGCACGCGCATCCTCGATAGCCATCCACCAATGACCGGGATGGTCAGACAAAGTACCAAACGATGCGGCCCTGGTAGCATGCGAGAATAATCAAAGAGCGAATTTAGGCCCACAATGTTCTTATCCGTAATTCCGGGGACTGGATGTGTAGGTAAAAACATAAACTGGGGTTTTCTTTTTCCCTCTTCTACATGGGCCTATGCGAACCCTTCCCCTCTTACATCTCCATTGGGGTCTGTAGTGTTTCGTTTCATAACACCACAGTATCATCATCATACTGGCTCGCCCGGCCGTGCTGGCTAGTTTATGGTAAGTCATCATACCGCATCGCATGCTATTTAGGCTCGGCCTTAGAACCTGTGGTGAGCCGAGTGATATTCTGTGATGCACTTTGCTCTCAAGTTATTCGGGAGAATGAGAAATTGATACTTGTATGTTTCTAGGCTTATGAAAATGGAGACTTTTCAGAGGGACAAAGTTTCTGTTTATCTGTTCGGCCGAGTATCCCTAGGGCATTAAGTTTCATCGGACAATGTCAACTAATTCATCCAGATGCTTAACCCACAGTAGCCAGCCACGCGGTACTCTCAACATCCATATTCAAGTGCATCACAGAACAAGTGCAAAGCTATGTGGCAAAGTCATGCGGCCCCACGGAGTTCCCGAGATAGTGCCACAATAAAGTCAAAACACCGCCTCACTTCAGTAGTTGGTTTTCTTCGCATGTAGTGTATTTCAAATTAGGATAGAGTGGTGTATTTCCTATTTTACACGAGATTAAAGTATTCGCCTGTATGCACCGTAGGAGGTTTCCTGCCGTTTTAGTCCTTTAATGGAGCCTGAAATATAAATTTAAGTCACTAATTTTTCACCCCCGGCAACAGAGTGGCTTGTGTATAAAACTTGAATCCATAGCAGTTCTAGCCTTCAAATAGCCTAGCCTACTACCTCCTACCAATAAAAACAACGAGAGAGGCTACACAGTCCCCCCCCATGGCTCCTAGCACCCGATGCAAACTTACCAGTACTCCTCCAACCATTGCCCCTCCGAGTGAGCGATCGTGACCCATCTTAAAAAAAAATCTCCTGGCTGACTCATCCCCCACCCCCCACCAACGCCATCACCCCACCACCAATTCATCCAATCTCCTCATCCAAACACCCCACCACCAACCGACAAAACCAGCCAAAAAATGCCCTGGTTCCAAAAAACCCTCACGCTCCCCCCATCCTCGCGGGGCAGCTACCTGATCACCGACACGATAACCTCCTCGCTGCCCGAACTCGCCAACTACCGCGTTGGCCTGCTCACCCTCTTCATCCAACACACCTCCTGCGCGCTGTCGCTAAACGAGAACTGGGACAGCGACGTGCGTGCCGACATGAGCGACGCGCTGGACCGCATCGTGCCCGAGGATAGCAAGCGCGAGGGGATTTATAGGCACGATGCGGAGGGTACCGACGACATGCCGGCTCATGTTAAGAGCTCGCTTGTGGGCGTTACGGTCACGGTACCGATTGTGGAGGGGAGGTTGGGGTTGGGAACTTGGCAGGGTGGGTTTCCTTTTTTTTCTTTTTTTGCACACGTGCTGTTTGATTATGGATGGAGGGCTGATTCGGGGGGAGTTTATTTTTTAGGGATCTGGTACTTGGAGTTTCGGAGAGCGCGGCATACGAGGAAGGTTATTGCTACTATCCAGGGGGGGTTGAAGACGTAAAGTTTTTTTTGCGTTGTTGGGGAGGATATAATCGGGTTTTAAATGCTGCGATTGGGGGTTCGGGTGGGGTGGGTGAGTTTGTGGTGTGCTTTTTCATATGTGTAGAACCAAGTTTCAATCTTCTAGATGTGTGCTTCCCCCAGAATTGATACCCGGGTATTACCAGGAGACTTTTTTGGTAGAAAGTACTTTCTCGTTCAAAGCATGAAAAAATAAAACCCCAATTGTCCCTGCGCCACTCGTATAGGCTGTGGATATAGGCGAGTAGTTAAATTGGATAACATAATAGAGAGGTAGCCCAGCTTCAGCTACTATTCAGTCCTACAGGCTACAGATGATAAGTGGGTCGAAGTCATGTAGCAGCGGGAGGTCATTAATTATCACTCGACCGATTCCAGGAATACAGTACCCCAATCGTTAAACGCCTACAAACTCCTCTCCCCAGCCATACATTAGGGGCGTCCATTCCGCCACATCCCCCAGAAAGCCATCCCGAGTTAATAACTAAAACCAGACACCGGTAAATGCTATTGCCGGCGCATCTACTCAATAAAAGTCCATGTCGCTTCCTAACTCCAAGTTGTGCAAGTTGCTCAGAGTTAAACCTCACCACACCCCCTCGCACATTCACATTCACATTCACCGCAAGCACAGGACACCGCGAAAAAAACCCACAATAACAAACTACTCATTCTCTCAATTCAGCCTAGCCACATACCACCACTACTGATCATTCCAATGTACAATCCCCTTCAACCACCCATGGCCTCTGCCATCATAAAAATACTGACCACCAGCCCGATTGTTCCACCTACAATGGGTGGCAATCAGGCTCCCCACCCAGGCCAACTCATGGCACCTGACCGCAACCAGCCACGACCCGCAAACGCTCAACGCCGCCGTCCCGCGGCGGGTATGCGTTGTACACCTGGAGCCTCCCGGGTTCAACTGATGGCACCAGTCGCCGGTTTGAAGCGATTCTATTGCCCGCTCAATGTCCCAGACGTACGGGCTCCCGCTGGAAGTCTCGCAGACCATTCTCCCGGCAGAGGTGGTTTCATTGAGGAGTTCTGCCGTGAGGCTGTCTTCGGAGAGCTTGTAGACAGGGATGGTGACCTCGAAGGATTTCTGGTTGATGAGGGCGAGCTCCGCGAGGTCGGTGGGGGAGAGTTTGGGGGTGGGGGAGGAGTCGGGGACCGGAGTGCCGGAGGTTAGGAGGGGAGGTGTCATAATGAGGAGGAGGATGAAGGTGAGGTTTTTGGTGAACGTCATGGTCAATCTTTAGTTAGTTGAAGTGGTCGAAGTATGTTTATGTGTTGGTGGGCGCGGATGTTTCTTTGTTGTGGTGAGAAGGAGAAAGAATGGCATTGTCTGGCCAGGAGTCACATATTTATACACCTTTTCGAAAATGCCAAGCATCGTGAAAATACTATTTGGCATGGAAAACAGGGTTTGAATTCGCATTGGATTACCTATTTAACCTATCATACCCAGTTTTTACAGGAGACATAGGGCTTTCCTGTTGTCCCAATTGAGCAATGCGGCATTGCATAGTAGCCCTCACAAACTTTCAAACCCCATAACACGCATCAAGCCACCACAAGGAGCTTCTCAAGTGGCAGTCAGGATCTAGATACAGTCCTCTAAACGGCAAAGAAATCACTCCAATGAGATAATTCTTGTCATCCCAGAACCGAACGGGCATTCTCACTCAGATCAGAAGATAATCCTTCCCAGTACTAACCTAAGCAGTAAGAAAACACCAGACACGTTCCCACCAACAGAGAATCATACATCACTAGCTCACTCGCCAGAACTGGAGTGTGGAAGGGCAGACAGTCGGATGAGCACACGAAAAAGGCGGACCCTGGACCAGTAACCACCCCTTACCCTTTTGAGCCAGAATTCCTCCAATCATGCAGAAACCTTGAACCAAATAAATTTTACTTTTCATTCCAATTCCTGTGTGAGGGTATAGCAAGGCACCAGACGACATAAATTCCAAAGCAGCTGCTAAAACACAGTAGCCTCAATCTTGTGGCGCTTTTCCTCCCAAGGCACCCACGCACATCCCAGGCATGACAAAACTGCGAGTGACTACACATGAACCAACCCAATACTCCACATCGTCCCCCGCCACCCAACCCACTCCTCTCCAGGAAATAAGCCAAGAGAGCACTAACACCGGGTGCCTGCGGAGCACCAAGACTCGTGCCACAGGAGCAGCTCTAGGAAAAAACCACCAATCTATAATACTATCTGCCGTCGATAATAAAAAGTGTCAAACTTCCCCTCAGCCGCGCCCCCGAATCTAGTAATATAGTAATTGTGATCTGCCTATCCCCGACCATCATTCCCCGACATCTCAACCTCTCCAGCGCCCAGGGACTCCCAGCGAACTACGAGGATATTGCCGCGGGGAGGAAAACCTATATCCCACCGGCACATTTCAGGAATTGAAAGAGAAAATTTTTTCTCTACCTGGGCCAAGTGCGAGGAGGTAGGCAGGTAATGGAGCCCTATGAAGGGGTATCTTTAGCGCGATAGGTGAAGTCGAGGGTAACGCCGGTATCGGGAGAATAGATACTTGTATTGGTCTTATTTGTGAATTAAGGTTCACTTGTCGCGCTTAACGCGTCTAGGCTAGGTTGCGGCTGTTGGCTAGTGAGGGGATTCTGGTCATATCATGATATTGTCAATGCGGTGTAGCTCCGCAAGCCTAGATTTGACGCCAAATTTTTCAGGAAAATCGTGATAATTTTTAATGTAGCGAGGAGAGTAATGCAAGTGAGTCTTAACTTCACTTGCTTGAAGGGTAAATTGTTATTAACATAGTAAAAAATATAATTTTGAGCATAAGGGTCCTCATTACATCCAAAATTATTACAATTTTCGTGAGAAATTTGACCTCAAATCTAGGCTCTAGAGTCACACCATTATGAGTCACACCATTATTTACAGCCCAGCCACAACTTAGCGTCGGAAAGGCTAGAAAAAGGGTGGGATTCCGGGCTCGAGAGTTGGCTAAATAACGGCCCACTTTTCCTAAATCAAACGAAACAAAAACCTCAGTAGGACCCCTATCACATCACACACACACACCCCAACCTAAACCTCTAGCCTCCGCTTCTTACTCCCACCCCCCTCCTTATCAGTCCTCGGCCTCCTCCTGCGAACCTTCACAAGCACATCAGTAAAATCCCCCTCCTCTCCGCCCCCCTCACTACTCCCCCCGCCCACCTCGTCCATCTCCCCCCAAACCTCCTCCTCTTCTTCCTTCCGTGACTTCTCCACTTCAACCGCCTCATCTCCCCCATCCAACACCACCACCGCAGTACCTTTGCTCCTGACATAAGCCTTAACAACAATCTCTCTCCCAGAACCTTCATAAACACGAAGATACCGATCAAAGCCTACTCCCGTAACAATATCTTTGGAAAACGTAGCGGTAGCATTGACGGCGCCGGTGGAGCCCTGGTAGATTCCTGCTTCGCGGCGGGTGGTAGAGTTGTAGAGCGCAAAGTGACCGTTCGAGTCTGTGTAGATCCAGTTGTGGGGGGACAAGGTTGTCGACGATTCGGGAGGGGTGTTGGGCGTGGTTAGGGGCGTGGAGGTGGGTGATTTGGTGGAGGGGTGGAGGTGGAGAGATAATATGGGGGATTTGGTAAGAGTTGTGGTGAAGATTGGGCGGCGGGAGAAAGCGGCGTCGTATATCCGTAGGTGCGAGTGTTGGGTTCCAGTTGCTAGTCTGTACTTCCTGCTGCATGTCTGTACGGTCGTAGTCCTTCTCCTTCTGGGATGGGCTGCTGCTGTATCCCCCTCTGCTTCTCCTCCTCCAGTGCCCAAAAATAAAATCCTACGAATATAAACCGGAACTTCTAAGCCCAGTTTATCTTGCTTCACGTTTTTAGCTTTCCAAACACTCTTCCAGTCTCCTTCTGTCGTAGGCTCGAAAACTTCCAAGTCCCGCTTCTCACCACCAATCGCGATAGCGCTCGGCCAGCCGTTCACGAGCTCTTCTGTGAATATCGCGCCAGCGGCTATATTCCCAGCGAGGGGCACAGTCTTAACAAACGGTAGTTCCCCATCGAAACGGTAGAATACAACTTCGCCGTTTGCACGGAAGAGGTAGAGGATCCCGTGCTGCACACCGGCGGATACCACCGGACTTGCTGTAGCAGTGGTAGAAAGGATTGTTGAAGAGGTATGGGTATAGAGAAGATACTTCTCCTCGCCGTTAACCGGAGAGACACTTGTATCAACGAGTTTGACCTTTCCACAGGTAAAAACCACCGCTACCTACTCGCAATTAGCCACCTTTCGTTCAATTTGACACGTGCGCAGTGAGAGAATACCAGTCCAGCTCGCTCCTCACCCTGGTATTTGTCAATCTTACAAACGGCATATACTGGGTCCTTCCTGTCCGGGGTGAAGTACGTAGAAATGCGTGGGCGGGCGGAGGCCTTGAGGGAAGTATCGGTGCCGCGGGAGGCGGTTATTACTACGAATTGTTAGCGAGGGGTAATCGTATCGGATTAGGGGCCTTTTATGAGGGGAACCTTTTAGCTGGCCAACGTCGTCGCCAATTGCAAACTTCATTCTGTATATGGGTGGCGGTTGTGATGGAGGCTCCGTGGTCTGTAATTTTATCTCCGAAAAATATGATACAAGGATAAGAGAACAAGAGATTAGATTAGATTAGATTAGATTCATGAACAGTCAGTTCTAGTCGAGGAACAAGTGACATTTTATGATCCCCCCGCATAGAAAATACCGAGCCTATCAAAAACCACGAATCCACAATGTATGATACTGCGGCTACTGTGTGCCTATACCCGCAATATACCCAAACTACGGCACAATTATGTTACTAAACCGGTTTCTCCTCTTCGTCCTCTACAACTTACTAGGATGATACCCCCCGACACACTCTGGTTTCTCTAAGGTTATGTGTAGGATACAAGCGCGGGCTTCGTATGCATGTTTCCCATTCTAGAGTTTGGAACCGGTGTAGAGTGAAGTTGGCGGACTATCCTTGGAGTTATGTATTCTTGGGGCCATTGCGTTAGTGGTGGTTAATAAAATGTACGATACTGCAAGAGAAAAAAGCGCAAGCCAAGAATATCGCATAAGCTTTAAGTCTTCATTATACAGTATCTGTCCATCCTACTACCAGCTCTCTCACAAAGAGCAAGTGTCAGAACGCAAATACTCTGAGTGGTTCTGTCTGGGCTTGGGAGTCGAGGGGGAGGGTTCTTTCTCCTAATCAGCGATTGCCTAGTGATGGTAGAGTTTGGGGCTCTGGATGGATCGAAGGTTGAGCTCATCATGGATGCGATTCTTCTAGCTACGGGTCTTGAAGGGTTGTTAATATTGGCTGGGTTTGGCGACAGCAAGAGCCACCCCGGGCAACATTGCAATGTACAGTGCAGAATCGATGGCACTGCAGGGAGCATGCTCAAATAATTGAGACATTCCTGCGAGCATGCTGGTAAATTTATGTGCACGAGTGCACCCGATTGGCCGTTCCAGTAAATACCCGAGACCCAGTAGCGCAGAGCATCACTCCGAGGAGGCTCAAAAGTTAGGTACAGTACCAAAAGTCTACCAGCGCTTTAGTAGAATGAGCCCTGACTTCTTGGCAGCCTTCCTCGTCTCTTTCCCCAGCGACAATAAGGAGAAAAGCCCACATCCACCGCGTCAACCACAACCGCCAACACAATCCCTTTTCGCTCTCTCACTGACCCATCGAAAGGCAAAATGACTGAAGAAATGGTCGACCATGAAGCGATCCAGCAACACATAGGTGATCTGGCCACTCTCGAGAAGGAATTCGACGCGCTGGAAGTGCAAATTCGTATTGCCCCCCTCCTTTTCTTCCCTCTCCTCATTTCTAGCAACTTCTGGAGAGAAAACACTTGACCAACCACTTGCTAAAAATGCGAGAATAACAGTCCGCGATACATACAATCGCCATTTACCCCTCTTCCGAAAACGCGATGCCATAACCTCTCGGATTAATGGCTTCTGGCCATTAGTCCTCGAGCAGACCTCCTCAATGCTCAACTTTGACGAGTATATCACACCCGAGGATGGCCATCTCTTTCGCTCCCTGTGCTCCATGACCCTCTCCCGCCCAGATGTCGACAACGAGCCGCGTACTATCCGCCTTGACTTCACTTTTGAAGAGAATGACTTTTTCGAAGACGCTGTTCTGGCAAAGACTTTTGTTTTCGGAAAGAGCGGGGAGATGAGCAGTGTCCCTGTCGGCATCAAGTGGAAGGATGGGAAAGATTTGACCGAGGGGGTTAGCGCTGCCGCAGTCCAAGCCTGGGATGAGCGCAAGAGTGGGAAGAGGGATGGTGAAGGTATGAAGAAACTTGGGGAGTTGATGAAGAAGGGGCCATCTAGCTTCTTCAATTGGTTTGAATGGACCGGGAAGCATGAAAGTCTTGGGGAAGTCAAGGATGAGGAGGGTGATGAAGACAAAGAGGAAGACGATAAAATTGTAGAAGTCTACCCGAATGGCGATGAACTGGCTATTCAGTTTGGCGAGGACATTTACCCTAATGCTCCCAAGTATTTCAGTACGTCATTCCCATACCTCTAGAAAACTCAATTGGCTAACATACAAACAGGCCAGACATTCGAAGAGGCAGACGTCGACGATGAGGACGAGGTAGACATCGAATCCGATTCTGACATTGAAAACGGCGCAATACTAGATGTCGATGTCGACCACAAGAAGCAGAAGCGTAACGGCGTTGAGGATGATGGCCCTTCCAGGAAGAAGGCGAAAAAATAAGGCTTGCCCCCATAGTATAAGGTATAATCTGTGGGTTCCGATATGTTATGATAGGGTGAAAAGTTTTTCATATTTTTTTCTTTACGGAAATGTTTGCCTGGTATTTGTATGATATAACCAACTCGGATTGGATCAGCCGGCCGCCGTGCTGGGGAGCTGTGATACGGCTGAACACGAAATTCGTTTGGGGGGGGGAGGCAATATGGGGGAATAGTACCCCGATTGGGCCAATCTAGAGCGAAGTGATGGGCTTTTTTCTGATGTGTAAAACGGCAAAGGCCAGACTTCAACACCTCTTTAATGTGAAGGCTGAGCAACCCGAAGCATTCCGATCAACCAAGTGAACAATTGTGGCCTGACAGGTATACTTTGGCAGTGCGGTAGTCTACTTGTAGAGTACTCGGTGGTACAAGTATTATATATGGATGAAAAGTGTAATTGGCTTCCCTATCAAAAAAGGGAAATAAAGCCCTCGACGGCGATCAAATGGGTGACAGGTGACTACGGTAAATTATGATAGCAGGGTGGATGGATGGATGGGACAAGCGCAACAGCCTCCAACTAAGGAAAAAACTTAACCTCGGCCCTACCCTTATCACGTCATCCAACAGTTTAAATCTTCACCATCTCGACAAAAGCGCTTAAAACGGAACAAAACAAAACAAAGTCGAGGTTCGTTCACTATCCGGATCAAGCATCGCTTTTTCTACCGCCAACAAACAAACCAAAATGCTTCTAATAGGCTTAACCGGCTCCATCTCGACCGGGAAATCCACCGTATCAAAGATCCTCTCCAAGGACCACGCACTCCCAATAATCGATGCAGATCAGCTCGCACGGGAGGTGGTGGAAGTGGGTACGCCGGGGCACACCTCCATAGTAAGGTACTTTTCCGAGAGCACACCAGGCCTGCTGAACGAGGACGGGACGCTAAACCGCGCGGTCCTAGGCCGGCGCGTTTTCGGCGACGATCCGGAGAGGAGGAAGGATCGGGGGGTGTTGAATGGGATTGTGCACCCGCTTGTTAGGAAGGAGATGTTGGTTTCCTCCTCACTCCCCCCCCCCGCGTGGGCTTTTGTTGACATAAGAGGAATGACATAGGTATAAAGCAATAGCGTACCATTACCTCTCCGGCGCCTGGGCCGTCGTCCTGGACATCCCTCTACTCTTCGAGTCCTCCTTTGACCTAATCTGCGGTGCGGTCCTCGTCGTCTCCGTTTCCTCCCCGGAAGTACAGCTCGGGCGATTACTCGCCCGCGACGCCCATCTCACGCGCGAGGACGCGGAAAAGCGCGTGGCATCGCAGATGAGCATTCAGGAGAAGGTCGAACGGTGCGATAGGGTGTTTGGTGGTGCGCGAGGAAGGGGAGCGGCCATCTCAAATGATGGGAGTGTCGAGGAGTTGCGAAAGGGGGTTACGAGTGCTGTGGAGGGGTTGAAGGCGGGTAGGGATGGGTGGTGGAAGTGGATGCTTTGGGGGTTGCCGCCGGTGGCTGGGGTCGTTGGGGCGAGGGTTCTCGCGGAGAATTGGTGGCGGAGGGAGTGTTGGCTTAAGGAAAGGGAGAGGGTTGAGGCGAAGTTGTAGCGGGGATCAGCTGGGGAGGGGAGTTCTCTTTTTCGTCAGGAGTTCAGAAAACTTGCTTTTAGATTTGTCATACTATTTTTATCATAATTAGAATATCTGTTTCTTTCGCCTCAAAGTCGAGAACAATCCATGCGTGGAATTTCAACCCGCTAAAATCCATCTCCCATCCAAACCCCCACTCTCCGCGCAAAACCTCAGCCTTCGAACAGAACTCAACGGGATCAAACTAAATTCTCCAATCCGGCCCCCACAAGCATACCCAACCCGAGTGAGCCCCCATGAACCCTCCCACTAAATTATCATACCGAAATTAGAAGCAAAACGCTACACGAGAAGATGCTTACCAGTATTCCCGCACACATCATAACTCGAGCACACCACACAAATCTCCCACAGCGTTACCCTCAGGTCTTTCCAGGTCTACATATAGAGAATTACCGATGGCGTGGGCTTCCCCGGGGATCTCGAAGGATAGGCTCTTTGCACTGGTCAGCCCGCGTCGCTATTCTTTATGTAATTTGAATTATGATAATAGTAATACTTTTCACGAGCGAGCAGTGGTAGGCGTGTCCGTTTGCTCTTCAAAAGTGGCCGATCCTAAGGGAAACCTAATATATGGTCCCCTCCTAGCGAGGAAGAGTATAAACGGTATGATAACACTCGGAAGATGGTGAGGGAGGTGATCCACAAAAAAATGGACGGAGCAAAACTATCCGGCGTATTATCCATACAGGCCGCCCTTTTGGATCTTGTTAGAGGTTCACGACATTGCACAAGTTTACGGCAACACGATTCCACAAGATGAGGATGGTGAGGAGCTATCTCAAGGCCCAGAGGGGGGGTGGAGGGATACCATGCGCAAGGTACCGGGTTGGGGAAGCAAGTTTCACACACGTGATTGCTGAGTGTGGCTTGCTTTGACATTGGACCAACTTCTGAGATTTGGAAGGATAGTGATAGAGGGTGGAAACTGGTGTTATTGAATTGTATTAAGGGCGTCACAAATTGGTTCATAGCTGCCCGGGCAGGATATGAAGATGCAGGGAAGTTTCTAAATCGGGACATGTTTCACTATGATTTAGACTACTTGTTATTGGGTTTTATGAGTTTCTGTTTTGAGTTTTTTTTTGTGTTAGTACTTTGGGTTTTTTGTATGGTGCCGTAAAAACTCGAATAAGCGGACCGTGTGCTGGGTAGTGAGTTTAGAGTTTGGAACACAGGGATGTCGGAAATTAGTATCTAAGAAAATTTAGCAGTCCAAGACAAGTGCTAATCTCAACCTCAAATGTTTAGTAGTCCGAGACAAGTACTAATCTCAACCTCATATGAGGTGAAAGTTAACCACACAACCTACACGACAGTGTCTTAATATCATGAGATCAGTGTAGTTAGCAAGAGAGATAGACGATACAATCAGTATATTTTATAAGTAGGAAAATAGAATACCTAAGGGATTTCCCAAGAGCCTAAAACCAATTTGCATTAGAGAAGCCCTGTGAGCTCTCACAAAGGTTACTCAGAATTGAACTGAAGAGAGCTAATAGGTAATTCCAGAAAGCCTTTACGAGTTACCAATCAACCTTCTGGATGCATCTGTGTCCAACCTCAACTTCCAGCTCTTCCTCCTGATTGCTTCTATACTGGGATTAAAAAGAAAACTGGTCCAAAGTGGAAATACTTATCCAAGATCCTTTGGAAGCCAATAGAGCCTACTAGTAACCCTCAATGATCCTATACAGTAAAGTATAAGCTTCTGATTCTCTTGCATTGGAAAATAAGTAGCATACCATACTGTCTGACTCACTTTGATGAACCAACACGGGCTGAAGTTGCAGCACGCTGTTGAATTCCGACAACAAATTAATCATAGTAGAAGAGAAAGGAGGAGGAAGGCTATTATATAACCGGAAAAAGTAGTCAGTCGCATATGCTGGGCAGGGGAATGCAAAGGAAATTGGTAGAGATAGAGAAGGAATTGTATGAGGTGTTTAGGCAGCAGTGTGCAGGTGGAAGGCCTATAAGATGTAGTTGGTTTCAGTAAGTTAGTAAGGAATTAGTCTAAAAGTAATATGGTGAGAAAGAACTTACCGAATTTCACTTTTCCAATGGATGGTTTCAGGGTTTCCTGTTATGGCATCATATTAGTCTTTGTGTAATCACAATAGAGCCAGTAAACTACCAGCAGACTTTGGAAATACAATACTCAACTGGATCCAGTTTAATAGATAATATTCAAAACTTCATTTGGAGAGTAAGGGGGAGTAGGGAGACATTCCTGCCACCACTGACTGGTATGGCGTAAGTAACATCTGTAGCAGGATCTGATACTGTTAGGAGGACACAACTTGTAAAGACTCAGAGTTGTCTAGGCCAATCAAGATTCATTTCTTTAGACGGAGATTGTCTAGGAAGGCTGGAAATATTTACTGGTTTTGTTTCTGACTTCTAAGAGTAAGGTAAAGTAAGTAAAGTAGAATGGAATCATAAGAACAATATTATATTGTTAAGGTCTCTGATTCGTTGCTTGATGATGTCTAAAAGCTTGGGAGGCACTTCAATATTTATATTCTGTGTCTGAGTGTTCATGGACTACATCTCTCTATTATATAAACTATATACCTCTCTAGTTATAACTTGCAATGTCGAGTATTCTTCTAAGGTGTGAGTACCTGGAGACCCTGAAAATCACCACATCCTCTTTGATAATTACAATATTACTAACTAGAAACTATACTATTTGTCACGAACGTGACTTAGCAAGGAAAGGGTTTTCACATGACACATGGTTATGAGTCACAGGTATGTTATTGTTTCGCACATATAACCTATTCGGGTTGTATGATTAGTTATGTGTGGGATTTGTGATGCTTTCGCACATGACTCAAGTATGAGTCATGGGACATGCGCCTGGCGAGTATGCCTTACGAGTATGCCTTACAGGCAAGCCTTGCGCATATGATTTATGTTTCGCACATGACCTTATTATGAGGCCATGTGTTTCGTGCATATGACTCAGTCGAGTCATATGACTTGTTTATTGCGTTATGATTGGTTTATGAGTTTCGCACATGACCTTGTTATAAGATCATGGGTTTTGAGCATGTGATCACTTTGGTCACATGATTAGTTTGTTTTGATTTGGTTGTGCACATGTGACCACTTTAGGTCACATGATTAAAGGTGGGAAGAACACTATATAAGGAGGCCGATGCGGCTGAGGAAGATAGGTTCTTCACGCTTTGTGCTAAGTACATTTCCTACATATTACTTTAACGAATATAAAACACCTTTACGATCTTTATCTTTATTGCAACATTATCGTTACGACAAGAAGCCTTTGTTACGAAGACAAGTTAGAGAAAACTTGCGATAGGTGTTCCCGATAGAAGACAAAGGTCTTGTACTATCGGTAACATAGGCAGAGGCCTAGAGCTATCGTAAGACAAGGAACGAAAGGGAAAAAAAAGATAAGTATCGTTCCCTGTCGCCAAGAACTAACTATCTGAAAGGGGATCGTTACGTTACAAAGCGTCACCTAGTGCGACGCCAAACGATACAAGACGGCATCTTTCAACCCAGATCGGGAAGGAGATATTGACATTGACGATCAAAATCTTAATTTAGGAGGATTCAGCGACACCCTAGACCACGTCTCAGCAGAACCCTCGAGAGCAGCAAGCCCAGTAACCCCAGAGAAAGGATCGCCAGTCGATAGCTCTCCTGCTGGAACGCCATGACCCGAGAGAATGTCGGGATCCGCAGTACCTGGGCTACCGGCCCCAGCCGCTCCGGCACCAGGAACCAGCCTACTTGGCATGACTGAAGATCAGTTTCAGGTATTTCTGGCAGCCATGCGAAATACAGGGCAAGGAAATGTCCAACGACTAAAAGCAAAGGAGCCCGACACATACGAAGAAGCCGAAGATAAGCTACGAATATTCTTAGCGCAATGCGAGGGATATTTTGCAGTTAAGGGATATGGAGATCACTATGATGAAATTAAGATTCCATATGTGGAATCTCTACTCAGAGGACTTGCGGGACAATGGATCATGCCCTTCCAAGATGGAAGGAAACAAAGGGAATGAGTCGCGTACGAAGAGTTCAAGGCGACACTCTTTGAACAATTTGGCGACCCCAACGCCAAAGAAACAGCAAGACGAAAGCTAGAAAAACTCCAGCAAGGAAAACAAACGTTCTCAGCATACTGGAACGAATGTCGACTATTGGAATACGAGGCCGAGTTTGATGACGTGACTCTCTACATCATCCTCCTGAGAAACTGCAGCGAGAGACTCCGTGAGGCATGGGGAATCTCTGACCTGCGCTATATGACAGCCAAACGATTTGCAAGATAGGCAATTGACAAAGAAAGCAAGTTAAACATGGTCCGGAGCAACTCGGAAAATACTATAGCACATAGAGTGGTCCAATCATCCAGGAATGTGGACGGGACCTTCAAACCGCACGCACCTCGAGGAGAAAGTCGAGCATTACCACCAGGCGAACCAATGGAATTGGACAGGTCAAGAGTAGGGCCTGCTCTGAATTTGTCTAAGGAAGAATACGCTAGAAGAATGAATGGGAAACTATGCCTAAGGTGCGGAAAAGCAGGGCATCGGATACTAGAATGCAGAAGCCGACTGGACAACGGATACCAGGGAAATAGAGCTACTGGAAATAACCGTTTCCAAAACCAGAAATGAAGCAACATCCGCGAAATGATAGCAGAGGATTCACCGGCGGAAAACGAAGAGGGTCCCCAGTAGACGGTGGTCTGGGAGACCCAAGATGTGGACCTGGAAAACCTATCAAATTAGCGAAGTACTACACGGCACTATAAACGCAAAGAGGAGAAGGAGACAGAGATCATGTGATGATCAAAACGAAGATATACAACAGAGAAAGAGAAGAAACAACAATATATGCAATGCTCGACTCGGGAGCCACTGAAGACTTCATCCACAAAGAAATATGCGACAAATACGGCCTCCACACCAAACAAGCAAAGAAAGCAAGACAAGTCTACCTAGTGGATGGAAAGCCAAGCGCTATGGGTCCTATAACCCATATGGCGACAGTACCTATGGACATTGACAGCCATAGGGAAACGGCAACCTTTCAAGTGGTAGATCTAAAGAACCATGAGATAGTCCTAGGGATGCCATGGTTAAGGAAGCATAATCCAACGATCGATTGGAACGAGAACAAGATGACGTTTACAGGTGAACTATGTACGATACAATGTCTCAACAGTTCACCTGTAGTCTACTCCACACCAATACGAGAAGCGGAAGAAGAAACTTTGCATACAAAGTTTGCAGAGATGCGGCAAGACGAAAAGGTCCGGATATAAAAACTAGACCAAGAGACAAAAGTGCCTACCAAGGGTTCCAAAGGGGCAGCAGGACACGACCTATATGCCAACGAAGGACTCAAGATACCAGCCAACGGGTAGGTAATGATAGCAATGGGAATAGCCATTGGACTCCCAGAAGGCACCTATGGACGAATAGCGCCTCGCAGTGGTCTAGCGGTCAAACACTGACTCATGACCATGGCAGGGGTGATCGACGTCCACTATACCGGTGAAATCAAAGCAGTCCTTGCCAACCTAGCGCAAGAGGATTACCAAGTCCAGAAAGGCGATCGAATCGCACAGTTGATAATCGAAAAAATAAACAAAGAGGATCTGCTTGAAGTTGATTCACTGGAAGAAACCATGAGAGGAAACAAGGGATTTGAAAGTACGGACCAAAACCAGCTCGATACAACAAAAAGAATTGAGATCAAAGAGATCACAGCGCAAGCCTTTGGATGATATTATCGAAGAGGAGATACAACAGGGATTCTCAAATGGACATACGAAGACGAGAAAGCAGTTCTAGCAAAAATCAACATCAGCACAGAACTAGCAATCCAGGACAAGAAATACCAAAGCAAAAAAGGATGGAGAGAATTGGTTCCAAAAGAATATCACCAATTCACAACTCTATTCCAAGAAGAGGAAGCTACGGAGCTACCACCTCGAAGACCAGGAATAGACCACGAAATTCAGTTGGACAAAGACGAAAAAACGGAAAAAACAAAAGAAATTCCCTATAAGAAATTATACCTCCTAGGGGAAGCAGAGCTCAAAGAACTTAGGAAGTATATCGAGCAAAACCTAAAGAGAGGATGGATCAGAGTCTCTTGCGCATCAGGAGGATCTCCAATACTATTCGTCAAAAAGAAAGACAGAAAAATGAGACTCTGCGTGGACTACAGAGCCCTCAATTCGGTTACCAAGAAAGACCAATATCCACAACCCTTGATTGGGGAAGCAC